GAGGGATCAGCGAGGGAATGTGTTTTTTGTCATTTCCCTCGCTGATCCCTCGCTGATCTGCGAGGGAAAAATTCCCTCGCTGATAGTCGTCGCTGATACCTGGTTTTCTAGTAGTGTTACAGAATAGAAAATGTTTATTTTCTGTATAATTTATGAAAGGCTAAATCTAAAAGATTCAAATAGTTCTAATTTGATTTAGTCTGACTCCTTATTTATATAGTCGGAATTACTGATTGACTATAACTCAAATAAGGTTTAGTAATCATCTGTAACATAAATATAATTATCTTAAACTTTAATATAATTACACATACTTACAGTTACAGATAACACTGTAATTATCATAATCACTTTCAACACATATTTTCATAGTTATCCTCCAAGAATAATTATATCCATAATCAACATGATTTAATCCAGGTTTCTACAAATGGAAGCAAACGTATTTTTTGTATGCGATTCTATAGGTTTACATACTCCCCAACAGTATCCCGTGTGACACGCGTCGTGGGCATATACTAACTTACAAAGCTTAATCGACAAATTAGGTCCAATGCATCGAGACACATCCCGATTTCTATGTTTCATTTTATTCTTTATCTATGTCAATATAATACAATTTTATGTGATTTTGAGAAAACGATAATGTTTTTAATTTTGAATAAGATATAAATTTGAAAATATCATAAAATTTTGAAAAAGATATATCAATATTAATATCAAATTAACTATTTAAAAGTTCTAATTTTTTTGTAATTTCTTTAATTCAATTTTTTTATTATAATTTAATTTAACGTAACGAAGTAATTTAATAATATAATATATACTATATTATAAAACATTTGACAAAAACTCTTAAAAACCATTTTGTATGCATGAAGTACTGCATATTGATGCATATTACTTAAAATTCAAGATTGCAAGTAAATTATATATAAGTACAACTTATTAAATCTCCATGTTTAAATTCGTATAACTAATTGCAGATAAACATAATCAAATAGAGGATAAACATTTCATTTTAAAATATAAAAAATCTAATACATAATTAGAATAATTATCGAGTTCTAACAAAGTAATTAATTATTATATTTATTAGAAAATTATATTATTAAATCAAATATAAATTACTTCGTTATTGAACCTAAATTAAATTATAGTAAAAAATTGAATTAAAAAATTACACAAAAATGAAGAATTTTAAATAGTTAATTTGATACTAATATCGAAATATTTTTTGTTAAATTTTTATGATATCTTCAAATTTATATTTTTTTCAAAAATAAAAACATGTTTTTTTTCAAAATCACATAAGACCATACTATAACATCGACTGAAATAAAAAATAAAATGAAATATTAAAATCAAGATGTATCTCGCTGCATTGCACGAGTACCCTTCTAGTTCTTTATTAAGATAATCATTAAGTATTCCATTAGAACTCAATGATTATCCTAATTATATTTAAGATTTTTTATATTTAAAATGAGATGCTTATCCTGTATTTGATTATGTTTATTTGCAGTTAGTTACACGAATTCAAAGATAGAACTTTAATAAGTTGTACTTATGTACAACTTACTTGTAATCTTTAATTTTAAGTAATATGCATTAATAATCAGTACTTTGTGCATAAAAAATGGTTTTTAAAAGATTTTGTCAAATATTTTATAATATAGTATAGATTTTAACATAGTTCTTGAAGATATTTCTTATGAAGTTTAATTTAAAAATGAAAAGAAAAAAGAAGATAAAAGGTGATTAATGCAATTTCAAAAAAGAGAAGGGGGTTGTTGGTAAAATTGGCACCCATCTTTTTAATGGTGGGACAGGTTTGGGATGGTGGCTGGTAGAGACTTAATAGACAAAGAGATTCTTTCCACACCTAAATAGAGACAATTTATTATGACCAAGTCTTCAAATGAAATTGCGAGCTTGACTTTTGACACTTTCCAAGATCAGAAAAACTCCAATTTATAAACCCATGTATCAAAGATCCATCTCAACAAAAAAGCATTGCCCAATTTCATTAATCGTCTCTTGTACTTACATGGTTTAGTTGATATTCATGCAATCATGGTGTTTCCAGATACAATCTGATTGCTGGTTACTTCTTTCTTTTCTTGATCCCTTATGTAGCTTCACTCCGTTTCGATTTGCCAAATATCGGTCCAGCGAATCAGAATCGGGAGATAATAACAGAAGGTGATGGAGCTTATATCTCCAGCAGTGGAATCCAGGTGACCCCAGATGAAATTGGAGATCGGAGAAGGAAAGCAAGACGGGCGAGATACTTTGAACCGCTTCATCTTTGGAACAACGCAACTGGTGAGCTAGCAAGTTTTGCTACCAATTTCTCCTTTGTCATTGATTCAAGGTCAAATGGGGATTACGGTGATGGCCTCACATTCTTCCTTGCTGAGAATAATTCTATGATCGCACGCGGTGCAACTATGGGGCTTCCGATCGATCAAGACACCATTGTGGCAACAAATCGATTTGTTGCAGTGGAGTTTGATACTTATGAGAACAATTGGGATCCAAGAGATTCTAACAATATTTACATAGGTAATCATGTAGGTATCACCATAAGCAATCTCACTGGTAACTCTCTCACCTCTGTTAGATCTCAAGGATGGTTCAGCAATATAACTGGTGGGGCAACTTGTCAAGCTTGGATCACATATGATTCTATTTCTAAAAACCTTAGTGTTTCCTTCACTGGTTTTCGAAATAATACAACTGTACATCAAGATGGACTTTATTACACCATTGATCTAAGAGATGTGTTAACGGAAAGGGTCATTTTTGGGTTTTCAGCAGCAACTGGAGCTTCATTCCAGAAAAACAATGTTAAATCTTGGAGTTTCAGTAGTTCGGATATACAAAATGATGAAATCGGCAGCCTGCCACCAAACCCCGGCCCAGATCCAGTGGGTGACAAAAATAGCAACGTGGTTGACAAAAATAGCAACGTGGTATTAATAGTTGGATTATCTGTTGCAATCACTTTTCTGGCGGTGGCTGCCTTTGTTTTGTGGAGGAAGAAGAGAAAAAACAAGGAAGATGAAGTTGAAGAACTCGAATTTGATGTTGAGATGAACAAAGAATTCGAGATGGGTACAGGGCCTACAAGATTCTTTTACCACGAATTAGCTCAGTCGACCAGTAACTTTGCAGAAAATGAGAAACTTGGGGAGGGAGGTTTCGGTGGGGTTTATAGAGGTTTCTTAAAAGATTCGAGAACATATGTAGCAGTCAAACGGGTGTCCAAGACTTCCAAACAAGGAATCAAGGAGTATGCATCAGAAGTCAGGATCATTAGCAGATTGAGGCATAGAAATCTGGTTCAACTCATTGGCTGGTGCCACGAGAAAAGAGAACTACTGCTTGTTTACGAGTTAATGGAAAATGGAAGCTTAGATTCACATCTCTTCAAGGCAAAGAGCTTGTTGACATGGGGCACAAGATATAAAATTGCACATGGCCTTGCTTCTGCTTTGCTATACCTACATGAAGAATGGGAGCAATGTGTTTTGCATAGAGATATCAAATCGAGTAATGTGATGTTGGACTCAAATTTCAATCCAAAGCTTGGCGATTTTGGGTTAGCAAAGTTGGTTGATCATGAGAAAGACTCACAAACAACAATGTTGGCTGGAACCTTGGGTTACATGGCTCCTGAATGTTTAGTGACCGGCAAGGCAAGCAAGGAATCAGATGTGTTTAGCTTCGGAGTAGTTGCATTGGAAATAGCTTGCGGAAGAAAACCCATCGAGTACAAGGTTCAAGAAAGACAAATAAGATTAGTAGAATGGGTTTGGGAGCTGTACGGGACTGGGACTCTTTTAGAAGCAGCAGATCCACGACTTGGGTTGGATTTTGAGGAAGATGAAATCAAACGTCTGATGATCGTTGGGTTATGGTGTGTGCACCCTGACTCAGACTTTCGCCCATCGATGAGACAAGCTATTCAAGTACTTAACTCCGAAGCTTCCCTACCCATTCTCCCCTTAAAGATGCCAGTGGCGTCTTACTTGCCCCTTCCAATTTCTTCATTATATAGCGTCGATTCGTCAAGTAGCATCTACAACACAGATTCTTCAAAGCAAACTACAACTTCATCAACTACTTCTCCATCTGTGTCACTGTTGCATTCAATGCAATGACATGCATTAAATTTCAGTTTATCAACAACCTTCTCCGCTCAGAAAGTAGAGCTTTTGGTTTGAGTTATAATATTTTGACGATTGTTATTCAGCATCATAAATGTGATACTTGACGATGCCTTTTCAAGTAAACTTCAAAGCGCTTATATACAACACCTATAATCATTAGACACTTTAATATAAAAAAAAGGTAATATGTTAACTTCATAATATGCATTTTCAAAATCATTATTGTAATTTTCACTATTAGAAAACTGCGGATTTCCGACGGATTCCCGGTGGACAACATAAAAGTCAACTTTCGTTGACTTCAGCCAGAAATACGCCGTTATTTATATTCCGGCATTATTTCCAGCGGATTTCCGACGGATTATACAAATTAAATATTTATGAAATTATTAATTTTTTTTACAGTAAGTTACCGCAGGATTTTTGATTATTTTTTTAAGATTAACGTCCGTCGAAAAATAATTAAAGATCAAAATTTATTATTTAAATTACGGGCGGATGCCAACCGGTAATCCACCGGTAATTTAAAATAATAAATTCTTCAAGTTTTTTTTAAAAAATATACTACTGTTTTCCGGTGACTATTTTCCAGCAGACTGCTCGGTTAATCTCAGCAGTTTCCGCCGCCACAGTAATGAATATTTGTTTGCTTTGGAACAATTTAGTTTTCGTTTGGAACAAGTGTGTACTACTTTTGCCAGGATAGTTGTGTCGGACATTTCTTGTTTTTAGTTTAATGTATGATGTTTAACGACATTTCATTTTTTTTAGTTTGTTTTTAATATTTACAAGATCTACAAGTTTTAAATATTTAGGAAAAGTATTTTCTAGAGCTGGGTGATTTTTCGTCCGGTAGATTACCGGCGGATTTATTTAAAGAATAAAAATAAGAATTTTAAAAATTAAATTAAATTACCGGCGGATTTCTGGAGGACACTTTCGCCAGTAATTTAATTCATTTATTTAAATCTTATTAATAATTTCTTAATTTAATTAAGATTTTTTTAAATAAACTAAAAAAAGTTGGCTAAATGGCTGCCCAAAAACCAAAAATCCGCCAGTAAATCTATCGAGAAAAGAATCACCGGCCTCTCATTTCCCGGCAGCTATATCCGCCGTAAGCTCTATTTCTCAACGGATGACAGATATGGCCGTCGGAAAAAGTGACTGGTTTGGTAGTGTTTGAACATTAATATCATATAACATTTGTTTTAATTTTTATACTAACCATATTTTTATATCTTTTTCCCAGAAAAATTCTTATTATTTTAATATTTTAAGCATAAGTTTTGAATTTTGACAACAATACAAAAACGTGTTATATAAGTCAATAATTTGTCATACTTATCAGCAGATTAGTAACATCTTTCTTATAATTTAAACAAATGTTCTAAAACATGAGTTGAAGGATACTCGCATAATGCAGCGAGATATATCTTGATTTTAATGTTTCGTTTTATATTTTGGGTATATCGATGTTATAATGCGATTTTATGTGGTTTTAAGAAAAAGAAAAAGAAAATGTTTTTTTAATTTTTGAATGAAATATAAATTTGAAGATATTATAAAGTTTTGAAAAAATAATCGATATTATCACCAAATTAACCATTTAAAAGTTTTTGTTTTTGTATAATTTCTTTAATTCAACTTTTGATTATAACTTAATTGAAGTTTAATAACGAACTAATTTATTTTTATTTTAAAAAATAATTTTTTTTAAAACAATAATTAGGTATTTTGTTAGATTATGTTTACCTATAGTTAGTTACAAGAATTCAAACATGGAGCTTTCATATGATGTATGCATGCACATTCTACTTATAATCTTAAATTTTAAGTAATATGCATCAGTAAACAGTACTTTATGCATAAAAAATTATTTTTAAGAGTTTTTATTAAATACTTTATTATATAGTATAGATTAGGTTCTCCCAACCAACATTTCTTATTTTTCCCCCACTTAAATCGCGTTGACAATTTCATCTTAACTAAGTCTTGATTTGAATTTGCCAACTTGAAAGAAAGAATCAAAGACTACTTTCTTATTTTTTTCTTGATACTTTCCAAGATTAGAAAAACTCTAATTTAATCCCACCACTAAACCTATATATCAAAGATCCATCCTAACAAAAAAGCATTGCCCAATCTCATTAATCTTCTCTCGTACTTGCATGGTTTAGTTGATATTCATGTAATCATGGTGTTCTCCAGATACAATCTGATTACTAGTTACTTCTTTCTTTTCTTGATCTCTTATGCAGCTTCACTCAGTTTCGATTTGCCAAATATCGGTCCAGCGAATCAGAATCGGGAGCTAATAACAGAAGGTAAAGGAACTTATATCTCTGGCAATGGAATCCAGGTGACCTCAGATGAAATGGTAGATCGTTCCCAGATAGCAGGACGGGTGACATACGCCCGACCACTTCATCTTTGGAACAACGCAACTGGTGAGCTAGCAAGTTTTGCTACCAATTTCTCCTTTGTTATTGATTCAAGGGATAGTGGAAATTACGGTGATGGCCTCACATTCTTCCTTGCTGAGAATAATTCTATGATCACACGTGGTGGAGCCATGGGGCTTCCAACCGATCCAGTCACCTCTATTGCAACGAATCGATTTGTTGCAGTGGAGTTTGATACTTATAAGAACGATTGGGATCCAAGAAATTCTAACAATAAGTACATAGGTGATCATGTAGGTATCACCATAAGTAATTTCACTGGTAACTCTCTCACCTCTGTTAGATCTCAGAAATGGTTCAACAATATAACTGATGGGCCAAATTGTCAAGCTTGGATCACATATGATTCTATTTCTAAAAACCTTAGTGTTTCCTTCACTGGTTTTCAAAATAATAGAACTGTACATCAAGATGGACTTTATTACACCATTGATCTAAGAGATTTGTTAACAGAAAGGGTCATTTTCGGGTTTTCAGCAGCAACTGGATCTTCATTCCAGAAAAACAACGTTAAATCTTGGAGTTTCAGTAGTTCGGATATACAACATGATGAAATCGACAGCCTGCCACCGAACCCCGGTCCGGATCCAGTGGGTGACAAAAACAACAAAGTGGTATTAATAGTTGGATTATCTGTTGCAATCACTTCTCTGGTGGTGGCTGCCTTTGTTTTGTGGAGGAAGAAGAGAAAAAACAAAGAAGATGAAGTGGAAGAACTTGAATTTGATGTTGAGATGAACAATGAATTCGAAATGGGTACAGGGCCTACAAGATTCTTTTACCACGAATTAGCTCAGTCGACCGGTAACTTTGCAGAGAATGAGAAACTTGGGGAGGGAGGTTTTGGTGGGGTTTACAGAGGTTTCTTGAAAGATTCGCGCACCTATGTTGCAGTCAAACGGGTGTCCAAGACTTCCAAACAAGGAATCAAGGAGTATGCATCAGAAGTCAGGATCATTAGTAGATTAAGGCATAGAAATTTGGTTCAACTCATAGGTTGGTGTCACCAGAAAGGTGAACTCCTACTTGTTTATGAGTTAATGGAAAACGGAAGCTTAGATTCGCATCTCTTCAAGGCAAAGAGCTTGTTGACATGGGGCACAAGGTACAAAATTGCCCATGGCCTTGCTTCTGCTTTGCTATACCTACATGAAGAATGGGAGCAATGTGTTTTACATAGAGATATCAAATCGAGTAATGTGATGTTGGACTCAAACTTCAATCCAAAGCTTGGCGATTTTGGGTTAGCAAAGTTGGTTGATCACGAGAAAGGCTCACAGACAACAATGTTGGCTGGAACCTTGGGTTACATGGCTCCTGAATGTTTAGTGACCGGAAAGGCAAGCAAGGAATCAGATGTGTTTAGCTTCGGAGTAGTTGCATTGGAAATAGCTTGCGGGAGAAAATCGATAGAGGACAAGGCTCCAGAAAGACAAATAAGATTAGTAGAATGGGTTTGGGAGCTGTACGGGACTGGGACTCTTTTAGAAGCAGCAGATCCACGACTTGGGTCGGATTTTGAGGAAGATGAAATCAAACGTCTAATGATCGTTGGGTTATGGTGTGTGCACCCTGACTCAGACCTTCGCCCATCGATGAGACAAGCTATTCAAGTAGTTAACTCCGAAGCTTCCCTGCCCATTCTCCCCTCAAAGATGCCAGTGGCGTCGTACTTGCCCCTTCCCATTTCTTCATTATATGGCTTCCAAAACGAGTCGTCAAGTAGCATCCAGAACACGGATTCTTCAAAGCAAACTGCAACTTCATCAACTGCTTCTCCATCTGTGTCACTGTTGCATTCAATGCAATGACATGTATTAAATTTTAAGTTATCAACAACCTTCTCGGATCAGAAAGTAGAGCTTTTGGCTTGAGTTATCATATTTTGACGATTGTTATTGAGCATCATAAATGTGATACTTAGACGATGCCTTTTCAAGTAAAGGAAATACATATGTCGATAATTTGTCAATACTTACCGGCAGGTTAGCAACATCATATCTTTCTGACGACATATGATACAAGAGTAAATAGTAAAAGTTTTTTATTCTCATTTATTTTTTAGGTTTTTACTGATAAACTAGAGCTAGTCAAAGGGAGTGAAAGTGAATGAAGACAACAAGTACAATGATAAAAAAATGTAATTAGTTTAAAATAAAGACGAAAGTTAATGATGATTTGCAACTAATGAAACAAAATATAACTTGCTCTTAAGTTTAATATAAACAAATATTTTAAAACATGATTAGGTTCCTAACAACTTTTATTTCAAATAAATAACTTATATTTATTATTACAAGTCATTGAAGGTTTACGCTACAAGAATAGTCAAATATGAAAGAAAAAAACACATGGCGAGGCAGGGACGGATCCAAAAAAAATTTTAAACGGTAGCACCATTTGACCAATAAAAAAATTATATAGGAAATTTTTTTCAAACAGTAATTCTGTTTGACTATAAGAAACAAATATACATAATTTTTTTAAACGGTGGCACTGTTTGATTAAGAGAATGACATTAACATGATTCGGACTTGGGTGTAGGGTGAAATAAAAGTCTTGCAAACCAACTTTACCAAATAAAACTTGTTCTCATTGTAGTCTCAAAATAAATACGATGA